TGACTGTGAGGCCCAGCTTCTCGAGGTGCTCGAGTAATGCGGCCCTGTGTTCTATGAGCTCCGATCGTGATCGAGCTAGAATCAGCCAATCGTCCAAGTAGTTCAGGACTCGCATGCCCTGAAGTCTCAGGGGTGCGAGCGCCGCGTCCATGCACTTCGTAAATGTACGAGGTGCTAGGGACAGGCCAAACGGCAGGACTGTGTATTGATATGCCTGGCCCTCGAAGGCGAATCTCAAAAATCGCCTGTGATGGGACGCTATTTGTCTCTGGAAATAGGCGTCTTTCAGATCTATTGACATAAACCAGTCCCCGTGGCGCACTTGCGCGAGGATTTTCCTGGTCGTAAGCATTCTGAACTGGCGTTTGACAAGCGCTCTGTTCAGCTGTCGCAGATCTAAAATGGGTCTGAGACCCCCATCCTTTTTCGGTACCAGAAAATATCTGCTGTATAGGCCCCCTTCGCTCTGAGCCTGAGATAAAGGTTCTATAGCCCCTTTGCTCAGTAGTTTCGCTATCTCGGCACGAAGTAGATGAGACACTTCGTTTTTCACCGTAGTTTCGACGCGCGCCGTATAGCGGCGTGGGCGTCGAGCGAATTGTAGCGAATAGCCTCTCTTTATAGTGTTCAGCACCCACTCTGATACCCCGGGAAGCTTTGACCACGCATCTGCATGAATAGCTAGGGGTAGAATGAAATCCGGGCTCTGGTCGCGGCAAAACGGCAACTCGAGAGCCCGGGCATACTGGGAACACAACACCGTGTTTACAGCGTTCGAGGCGGGGGGCGCGCTGATCACAGCGGGCGGCCTGACCGCGCTCAGCTTTTTTATGGCAGATAGTGCAGAAAAAGCGAGCGGGGGAGATCCCGTAGGAATCGGCGTGTCTGTGACAAAATGTGGGCGCGGGGCTGCGGGCACATTTATTACACTGAAAACACCGTCGTTCATGGCCGACTGAATGTGTGTTGGTTTCGTTTTTACAGAAACCAAGGGACACGCAGCATGTAGTGTGAGCGGGCATGGTGACATGGGCGCGTTTACTACATTGTTTGCACAATCGACCTGAGTCGAGTTTATTTGTGCTAGCCCTGCACCGTGGCGGGCTGTGTTTGGGTGTGGGAATGGGCACTGGGTGGGCATTCTTACAACACTCATAACACCATCGGCCGTGGCCGGATTGTTTGTGCGAGCCCTGCATTTTTGCGGGCTGTGTTTGTGTGTAGAAATGAGCCCTGGGTTGTAGGCATTTTCAATACACTCATAACACCATCGGCTGTGGCCGGAATATCAGAAAATACACCATTTATGTGATTTATCTGGGTCGCCGTGGGAACAGCATTAGTGTGCAGGCAAGCGGGCATGGTACTGGCTTGCTTACTGCAAAATACACTGGAACAGTCACATTTTCTGGAACTGAACGAGCGAAAATTTCAGTGGAAGTCTGGCCACGGCGAGACTGAAACACCGTCAATTTCCTAGGAGGCTAGGAAGACTTGTGTTGGTTTCGTTTTACAGAAACCGTGGTAGTGTATGTGGGCACTGGGTTGTGGGCACATTCACTACATTTAATGCACAATTGTGCGAGCCCTGTACCGTGGCGGGCTGTGTTTGTGTGTAGAAATGAACACTGGGCTGTGAGCATTTTATTACACTTATAACACCATCGGCTGTGGCCGGAAAACCAGAAATACAATGATTTTTCTGGGTCGCCATGGAAACGGCCTTTATGTGCAGGCAAGCGGGCCGTGGTACCAGCTTGTTTACTGCAAAATACACTGGAACAGTCGCATTATCTGGAACTGAACGAGCGTAAAGTTTCGGTGGAAGTCTGGCCGCGGCGAGACTAAATTTTTATCTGCTGCGAGAGCCGGGATCGAACACGGGTCTCCCACGTGAAAGCTTCAGGTTCCGCCACTGGGCCACAGGGAGAACTACACTAGCGCAAGCAGATAAGAGAGTGTCATCACAGTTTTGTGTGTGTCGGCGTTTGTATGCAGGTGTGCGTGTTATACAACAGGCTCATTGCTGCAATAATGACATTTTCAGCCGCTCAAACTAGGAGCTGAGAAATGTTTGAGAAATGGAGATTAATCCGGCATCGGCGGGGACTAAAACACACTCTTTTCTCATTTGCCGGTGACGCACGCCCATGGGGGGCGGGGTAGAATGCTGGCCCGTTTCCTTGACGACTCGCGGACAGAAGGCGGAGGTCCACAGAGCTCGCCTGTTGCGCGGCGGTTGCGCGGGCGCTTCCCAATCGAGGCCGATGCTATCCACGGCCTGAGAGAGCAGACGCATCAGCTCAGTCTCAATGCCGGCTCTCTTACCAGTGGTCTGGCGGGAAACGCTAGCGGAGGGGAGGTCCACGGAGCTCGCCCAATCCTCGCTATCGGATGCCAGAAGAGAACACGCCTCGGTGGGTTCGTCAAACTCGTGGATGGACGCGGCGGCAGGCGGCGGCCGTTGTCCGTCAGTGAGCGACTCGAGCGAAACCGGCGAAGGTGGCGGGCGAACCGGCGAGCTTTGGCGGGCTGGAGAGAGCTCGGGAGCGCGCTGGGCGCGGCGCTTCTTGCGGCGCGGCACCACGGCGGGCTGCGGTGAAGGCTCGGAGAATGATGCCAGGCGAGTCCTCAGAGTCACCATGGGCAAAGGCTCGCAATGAGGGCATCCGCCTTCAGCGAGCGCGAGAGCCGCGTGATCCTCACCCAGGCAGGAAACACAGATGACGTGCCGGTCTCCATCGCTGAGCGGGGCGCGGCACGAGCCACAGGAAGGCATCTTTAAAAAGACGCAGCTCTTTTGTGAGAGAAGTGTGAGTCGCGAAGTAAGCTGACAAACACTCTCAACAGAGTAAATACACACAGAGTGTGAAAAGGATATATAACGCCGGAAAGCGCAGCAGGTACGGCAGTTGAAGGCGGCGAGGCCAGCGACTCCAGAGCTCGTCCCGCTGAAAGGCTTGCTTCGACGGCGCGGCTTCTCACTCCGGATCCAGCGATGCGTGTGCTTCGCTGAAGAGGTAAAAATCAGTTTGTATCAGCCTAACGAGCATATTTATAGGGTGAGACCACGCCCCTTCTGGAGGGACGTGACGATATGGGCGCGAATGGCCCCCATTGGTCATTACGTCACGCAGAGTCTCTCTCGATAGGCTGCTGCATTTGCTGCAGAGCAGCCAATAGGCGCGCGAGCTGTTTCGCCTATGTCTGCTTGCTGCTGCAAAGCGTTTTACATTATTAAAAAATTAAGGATAATTTTTGGCTTCAATATCTCGCGGAAAAGAGTTTTTCCCCTAGCGTAAGCTATTACGCAGTACGAGAGATACTCTCGTAAGAGAACTGGAATGTCTTCTTTAAAGCTATAGCCGTGGTTTGAAATTGATAGTTTTGTCAGTGAGTGTTAAAATTCTAAATCAGTTGAAAAGGTTGTCATACAAGAAGCAAATCAATTTTCCATCAGAAATTTATCATGTTCATTAATATCCCATCCACAGTCAAATGCACTTGTTATAACACAAAGATATTTAAATACAATTTTATTATTTTCAAATGAATCACAGCGACAGCCTTATTTACAGAATATTTCTACAAAATACTGATGTGGGAACTGTTGAACATCACAAAAAAAGTCAGCATTTACTCACCCTCACATCCATATGCCTTCTCTCTAACTGATCTCTGAGCTGCTCTTATCTAACTTTATGAAGAAAGCATTGTGTTACCATGTTGTCAGTCTTCATGAAAGCACCACAAAAGTCACGAGTAATACACTATAGGCTACTCAAAGTCTTCTCAATCCATGCAAAAGCTTTTCATTTAAAATGATATAGGCCCTGTAGTTCTTGGATCTCATTTGTGCACATGCATATTCAAACTCATGACACGTCAGGTTTGAACATTGACTGCAAATGACATTTGGCATGTCTGTTCCTAAAACTATTGCATGGCTTTAGAAGAATATAGCACCAAAGTTATTCAAAATCATTGATTTTGTGATCCACAAATGAAGAGAAAATCAAATGGGTTTGAAAGAATGTGAAAGTGAGTGAATAAAAACACACCTTCACATACAATATGGAAAAAGTGCTCATTCTGAATTTATGATATTTGTTACTTACTATACTTTATAAAGTGTGGTTCATAACTTCATATACAAGAATGAAAGGTGCTGACAAGTTAAGAAAGATACGGTCAACAGGTCAAATGCTGTATTTAACTGCAGTGTATTTAAAGCGCTTAAATGTTGGGGCCGGTTGCATAAACTGCTTACTCATAAAAAGTTACTCATCCAAATTTTTTTTTTTTAAGACTGTACATAACTTTTTTTTAAGGCCGTTACATAAAAATGTAGATTGGTCTAATTTGATACCGAAAAGTAAGACTGATTACCCCATAACTAACTAACTAAGTTCTTAACACAACAGCTTGATCTAAAAATATAAAGTCTGAAATCGAAGACCTTTTTTGTACCAGATCTCAGATAGTTTAATGGCCAGGAGCTTCAGAACTCATGCATGCAAGATACAAGCACCTAATTGTTGAGGATTCTCCATCCAGCATCCCTCCATTAGTCTGCCTCCACTTTTATTTCATATAGCCTACTTGAACCCTTTTAAACAGAATACATTTCATCCAAAAGCAAAATTCTGTCATTGTGTGAAAATTCCACAGAAAAATTACAGCGTACGGGTTTGGAGTGACATGAGTGTGAGTATTTAATCTAATGGCAGAATTTTCTTTTTTGGTGAACTGTTTCTTTAAGCATACAAAGGCAGAGGATAAAGGCCTGATCACACCAAGGAGGACAATAACTAATGATAGAACTAAAAATTGTTCTAAATATAAATGAATAGCAGAGTCCACACCACACATATAACGGTAACGGCACGGATACATTATATCGTTGGAATCACTTTCAGAACAATATTTTTCTAGCTGATGAATGATAAAAACAATGACAGCCAATCAGAATCCATCCTGCTTTAAAGACCTCAAGCAGACGGTTAATAAACAGATCGATATCATCCACTGGTGTGGATGCTAATATAGTTATCGTTCTATTTATCTGTATAGTTATCGTTCTTGGTGTGAACGGGCCTTGAGCGGTTTGGAGAATGCATGGATAGATGTAAATGGCTCCTGTTCCAAAAACTGTTACAGGTCAAGCATTATACTTTCGTTAAGATACATATTTTAGGCTGAAGAGGATTGCATGTCTATATAGCTGAGGTCTACTCTGCACCACATGAGTAAAAATCATATTAATGATTCCTTAGCTTATGTGATCTTCTTGTTCTTTCCATGATGGTTATATACGAACTGCAGTCATTCCAACTTTCTTTCATGTAGTAGAGGACTGTGTCACACTCTTCTGGCTGCCGGTGTTCCTCATTACACCCGTGCCTGAATGGCTTTCAGATCTCCACTGCCTCTTACAGCCACAGCGAGATGCCATAAGACAGCGCTGCATGAGATCCCGGAACAGATGACCAGCGAAAAACATGTAGATCCAGGGGTTACAACAGCTGTTTAGACTGGCCAAAAGCATTGCAATGATGAATGCCATAGCTATTAGAGGCAAAATTAAAACAAAAAGTTAGTCACAGACAGATAGATAGATAGATAATCATGAAAACAATCACTCAAATTTCATCTTGCACCACCAAAATGTTACTCATTTACTGTATTCAACTTGTTTCTGATGACATTTTTTACCCAAGGAAAAACTTAATGTCTTCATTCACTTACAGTATTCTATATAATTTACTTATTATGATCTGCTGCTCTAAAATTGCTGGTGGCACAATGTGAAATAAATGAAGAAATTGCTATAATGGCAAGAATCTGTACCCGGGTCCTGATATGACTATAATCCATCACTTCTTCTATAGCCAAGTCCTAAAATTGAAAAAAATTATGCCATAACTTTTAATAATGTTTCAGAGATAAATCTTTCTCAAGAATCATAAAAGTCATGATCCTAAAATAATTCTTCCTAAGGTTTGATAATGTTAATGCTAATAAACTGAAATGGACAAAATTGTCTATGGTCATTTAAATCTGTGTATTAATTACACGGTTGATGCTCTGAGAATCATCATTGAACCAAAACAGCAGAATGAGAGTTTCTGTCGGGTCTAGATCTGCAGACTGAATCATTTTCCAAAAAAAAAGGGGGTAGCACTTTATTTTTCAGTCCTGTTTCGCATGTACATACTATGTACTTATCGTAGTAATGACACAACTGGGTAATAACTAGGTACTAACCCTGAACCTACCCCTAAACATAACTTAACCCTAGTTAGCCACAGTATTTTTGTGGGTGAGAACACTAAGTACATTGAAAGTGCACGTAATGACAGCATGATTCATAGCTCTCACACATGAAACACACTCTCTGCTCTAAAATAAGTCTGAAATAAGTTCACATGATGGATTGATAAATGGGTAGGGGGTGGATGTGCACCTTTGTAAATTAATCATTCTCTTAAAAATGAGAAACCATGGTCAATATAACATGCCATAAGGGAACAGCTGCAAGCAGATTCATCAGATTCTGTTTCACAGGAAAACATCAGCACACACATGAAAGACATGAGCATATGATTCAAATAATAAGTAATGATTTTCTAATATAATAATCATTTTTGGATGAGCTACTTTATGTGAGATTTTAATAACTAATTTAATCTCTATTGTCTTTTCAATGCCTGGATATTATTTTGAATCCGATTATTTTGAATTTATTGTCCTATAGATAATTGTCTTTCAGCTAATAACTTAGTCTTTGAGAAGGCATAAGTGTCATAGGGCTGGGTATCGTTCAAAAATGTTCGATATCGATACCCATACAGATACCATGACTTCGATACCGGTTCCTAAACGATACTTTTTCCGATACCAATTTTATGAACAGATGGGTTAATACCGTTTTTTCCGTTAAAATTATTTTGGATTCCATTTCTGGACTTCTATTGTGTTCTATTGCACAATTATAGTTTCTTTGTTTTCTTTTTTCATAACAAACATTGTTTATGTTTTTAATCTTAAATTAAAATTTAGAATCCACATTTTTTATGTAGTCTTTTGCAGCAGCCCACTTTATGCACATTTAGCATCTTGATTGCACTCATTTCCACCCGTCTAACTCTACTGTGGAGGAGTAGTGCAGAAGAGGGGTGGAAAAGGAAATATGTTGCAGATGGATCCCTTGCAGTTTGTCTTCATATGGGCCTTGTGGGTTTGACAACAGCAGTAGACCTCCTCACAAGTTATGTTATGAAATTACACGGAAATGCCACTCCTAAAGATCTTATCAGGATAAATAGGATCGCTTTGATTGTCATGCTACATTTACTTGACCAAAACCACCTGAGGCTGTTTAAGCTTTGAACCGCTATATTACAAGACTTGTTTTCATCTTTATCTGTCTATATTTTATTCTGAAATATATTTTTGGATTGTCAGTAGGCGCTAGAGCACAATTTTTATGAAGTTAAAAAGATTACTGTAGTGTAATGGGGAGAATGCCATTACAATGAAGAGCACGAAACATCTTCTTGTATTGCCATTTCTCAAGCTTTTTGAAACTCATAGACCAGCAAGTTGGATAACCTACAGATTACATGGATGTAAATTGTTTTTATGACTGTTTGAGGGCAAGATCAAGGACTGCCTTGATGGGCCAAAAAAAAAAAGTATTCAAGGGTTCCCATTGAATTTCCATGGTCTTACCAGTAGTTTATAAGGATTTCTTTAAATATATATATATATAAACTACAGAAATGTCCACCAAAAACTAAATATATTAGGCTACAGATTATATAATACTTTGTAAGGCACAAATTCCCTGTTATTTCCAGGCTTTCCATGACTGTTGGAACATCACGAATAATCGCATCTAACATAAAAGTTTGTGTTTATATAATATTAATATATGTGTGTGTGTGTACATATAATTGTATGTGTGTAGGCTACACACACAAATTGGTGCATGCATGCCTGCCTGTTCATGCCCCCTAATGTCATTGCAACTCCTGTGTGTGTGTGTGTGTGTGTGTGTGTGTGTGTGTGTGTGTGTGTGTGTGTGTGTGTGTGTGTGTGTGTGTGTGTTGCATATGCACATACATGTGTGTGTGCATGTATATACAGCCCGTTCTCATCCCAAGGCGCCATCTAACTGACGCTTTTGACCATGTCAACATGCCGACGCACATGGTACCCCTTAAGCGTCAATATGAGACGCGCCTCCTAGTGGTCTAACCCTAACCCTACCCCAGACCTAAACCTACCCATAACGGAAGCGTCATCTAACTGATGCTAAAGGGTGCCATGTGCGTCGGATTTAGACGCATGGTCAAAAGCGTCAGTTACATGACGCCCGAGGATGAGCGTCTCATATTGACGCTTAAAGGGTACCATGTGCGTCGGCATGTTGACGCATGGTCAAAAGTGTCAGTTAGATGACGCCTTGGGATGAGAATGTGTTGGTATATACACACATAGGCCTAAACTATGTAAACACAAACGTTTATATTAGATTTGACAGCACTATTCAAAATGTATAATTTTCATTGCATTAGCCAAATATCAACCCAAGTATATTTTTGGTGAAATATTTTCCTTGAAAACGTGCTTGTATTATATTTGCTTAAATAAAGGGTTTCAAATATGTAAGTGATAAGTGATGTTTTACTAATGATATAACAATAGGCCTACGTTGCATTAAATTGTTTATATATTTTACACATGTTATGACCTGTTGATCAACAGAATTTCAACGAACCTTCTCTTGGAGCCATTGGATCCCAGGCTGACCACATCTGAACAAAGAAAAACGGCGTCCAGCAGATAATATAAGCCAGGACGATCACAAACGTCATTTTCACTGTCCTGATCTTAGCTTTGGAGATCAACTTGACGCTGCTGACGCGGGAGAGCGCGGTGCCCTTGGCGGGTCGCGGGGTCAGCGACAGGCACTGATTGCGTCGAGTCTTCAGCTTAAAGTTTTGCCATATTTTATAACTAATAAGTCCATAACAAACGCTTAAAATAGCTACAGGAATGATATAGATGGTGAGACTAATCCATGTGACGTAAGCCTTTGCGCCCCAGGGCTGAACAAAATCCCCCCAGCAGTCGAAAACCCCATCACCCACTTCTTTGAGAGAGAAGATGTAAACCTGTGGTAAACTGAAGAGCAGGCTTATAATCCAAGAGGCCAAAACATAAAAACGGTCCTTTCGACGACGCAAGGATCGCAGAGGCTGCCATATAGCCAAACATCTGTCGATAGACATCAGCACGAGCATGTAAGTGGATGCGAACATGCCAACCACCTGTAGGTACTTCACCAGGCGGCACAGAAAGTCTGGTCCATAAAAGCGAAAGGTGATGTCCCAGATAAGTTGGGGGAGAACTTGAAAAACCGCCACCACCAGGTCAGCTATGCTCAGGTGTTTCATAAAATAGTACATCCGCGATTGACCGTGTTTACTCGTCTGGATAGCCACAAGGACGCACAGGTTGCCGGCGAGCGCCAGCAGCAGAATACACACAAGGACGGTTACTTCGACTTTAGCCACTTCTTCGTTGCGCTTGAGAGGGTTTACGGTTTGGTTCGATCCCCTGCTGTCGTTTCCCCTGCTTGAATTCACCCAGGAGTCGTTGAAGTGCCAGATAATCACGTCTTTCAGCAGGCTCTCCATTGTGCGTAAAATGCGCGGATGAGCGCGCTGTTATAGCGGCTCTCACGCGCTATATATCGTGACACATGAGTCGAAAGGATGCTGTTTTGATGGACAATTTCCAGTAAATGTCGATGACAAAAATTCGGTCCAGTTCACTGCAAAATAAACGTTAATTAAGATGTTTAAAATAATCTCAAAGTGGTTGATTTTTTTTTCAAAGACAATTTCAATTATATTTTAAGACGCCATCTGTCTTGTTAAACCCAAATTGTCTTTATAGCAGTTAGCTAACTGTCAACTATATTGAAAACCTTTTAAACAAAACACTACAGATTTTATGTGATATAATTGCAATGTAAAAAGTTATAATAACGACGGTGTTTATGTTTTGTCAATGTTCCAACTGACTAGGATACTGACACATTGTTGCTATAGTAACCTCGAACGCAATTACTGTTCGCGTGCTTCTATTCATTCACCGTCAGGTAAAAAAAAATATGCGCTGACTAACTTTTAAGGTTAATGAAATATTCGAAACGCCAATTTAAACTTACATACATATACATGTAAACATAATACTACTTAAAAACAGCCTTTTGTTTTTACTTCCTTTGGGTGTTGCAAGTCGGCGTTTTCTTTACCACAGATCATTATAATAAATGATTAAAATTTATTATATTATAATAAACTATATTTATAATTAACAATGCGCTATTTAAATTGGAATACATACACTGAACTTTTCTGACAATGTGCCCCAATAGCAGAACATATTGTTATAATACTGGGAAATACCTACATGTTAATAGGAAATACTAATACTTGTGATGATATACATTAATATTATAGAATTTTAAATATTCATACTATTGTGACAATTACAGTTTTAAAAAAAAAACCTACCTGAAATGTATTTCGGAAGAGATTCATTCTGTATGTCTTGGGTTTGAAATGGAAGTATTGCTCATAGCAAATCTGCAGCGTTTACTTTCTCCTATGGGTTCTATGGGATACAGCAGGTCTGTCTGCACAAACCTCAAAGCAGAGCACAGTTATATGCGACTGCACTGGGTGGCTTTGTCCAGCTGCACTTACACATTTCTACCACGGAGTGCTATTGTGCTGTGCTGGAATAATCAATGTATTTTACCATGCAGAAACAATAAGCAGTAACATGTAGCAATTTCCCAGTATTCTATGACAATATGCTCTGCTATTGGGGCACATTGTCAGAAAAGTTCAGTGTGTGTTATCTTTTCTCCTGAGCAATAATAGTGGGGAAGTTCAAATGCTGTTTTGAAGCAGGACTTTAAAGGGATAGTTCACCCAAAAATTATGTCATTAATTACATTAATTACATGCCCGGTGAATCCCATTTTCTATTAGTTCATTCAGAAAGGCTCATCTGATCCCTTTGATTCCCCTGCTTCATTCTTTTTTATGTATTTCATGTTCAGTTCTGTCCTTTCATTGCATTTTCCACTGCTCTAAATATTAGTTTCCATTGTTTCTGACAAACACTGACTTTTTCCTCACGACTTGCTGCAAGTCTTATATTGCCCCTACACTTAATGCCCTGTCAGGTACAGGATAGTCTGCCAGCTGACAATAAATCCAGTTTAGATGCACAAGAGTTTCAGGACACTTTCCACTGATTTGGTCTTCATTGCAAAGATGAGCGGCTGAATTTATAACAGTGAGGGGGGGGGGGGGGGGGGGGGGGATGGCCTGAGAAACGTGTCTGCTGGGTTACTGCGACAAGAATCAAACATTTATTTAACAATGAAAGTGTGCTCCAATTATTTGTCAAGGCTAAGAATATTCACATCAATTCCTTATTTAGCCAAGTCTCGGAAGTTGAACATTGTTTTCATACAGACAGAAAAAAATATTCAGAGAGTTCACACGCAAATATTTTCATTCCTGACAAATGGAGGATGTAACCACCTCCGATACACCTCCATGTGTTTTTCTCAATACATTTATGAAAACGTCCTTTGTAGAATTCTTTGTAGAAAACAGGAATCACAAGATAGACTTTCTTCGCCCTGTTTGTTAATGAAATTACGAACACAATTATACATTACCAATTCAGACAATTTGAAATAATTTTATAAGTTGCACCATGAATGGTAATTATGGTGTCACTCTTGCAATAAGCCTCGACAAAGAGAACACGTATAATTAAACCACTGATTAGCACTATGATTGCACATCATCCTGAGTATCTTGCTGAAAAGACCAGATTAGACCAGCATGAATTTCTAACATGATGATAATGGTTGAGCTGGTGGGAATTTGGGAACACCATAATTTAAAACTTAACGCATGCTGGTCACCAGGTATGTACTGTGTTTTTCAACAGGGTATCTTATTAAAGGCGGCTACCTGACTCAAAACAATTCTATTTTGGTTTGCATTGTTTGAACATTTCATCTTCAAGTTCAAGGTCAACTGGAATTTTCTATTGAAAATCGGCAATTTGTGAAATGAGTCAATATGATTTTTTTTTTACGGAAATACTTTTATTCAGCATTAAATTAATCAAAAGTGACAGTAAAAACATTTATAATGTTAAAGATGTTACAAAGTGCTTTGTGTTCAAAGAAAACTTTCTATTCATCAGAGAAAGAAAACTGAACAGAACTGTTTTCAACATTGATCATAATATAACATTTTCTTGAACACCAAATCAGCAAATTAGAATGATTTGACATTGAAGACTGGAGTAATGATGCTGAAAATTCAGCTTTGCCATCACAGGAATAAATTACATTTTTAAAAATATATTAAAATGGAAAACAGTTATTTTAAATTGTAATAATATTTCACACTATTACTAGTTTTTCTTAAAATAAAATTTTATAAAATTGTATGACCAACCCCAGTGAATTTAGACCGATCACCTCTGGCTTATTACTACAATTAAAACTGTCTCTGTATGAATAATGTGCAAACAATCCTTGATCCCACTCCACATTTTCACCTCTAGCTGAAAATAAATGTATGCCTGAACAGAATTAAGGCAAGTTTTCCTATAGTAAGTACATGTAGTAACTACGTCACCTTAAAATAAAGTTACCAAAATTTCATAGGGCTTTCTCATCAAACTGATGAGAAAAGTCTGTTTTTTTACATGACTGGTTAACACCAAGATTTATAAGCATTGTTAGTCTAAATCTTCATTGCCACAAAAAGCGCATACATGTACTGCTATCAGGACTTGCCTTGGGAGACAGCAGTTTAGGAAAACCACACATCTCAGGGGAAAAAAATGTTTTTCCTTTAGATAAAGAGTTTGATTCTGCAATAGTGGCCCAGTTGTATAAACCATTCTGAACATTTTGTCCCTCACTTATCCACACAGCTTCAAATTTCAAAACCTGTTTTCATACAAATGGAATATTTATCAAATTGAGCAGTTTGGGCTTTAAATGCTCCATCTCTACAAACGGATAAAATGCAAATACAGAGGCAGAGAATGAAGGAAATTGTTGTATATTCCTGAGTTGGACAGATGTTTATTGCTCTAGAGACTGAATACTAATCAATGTAATGCTGAGTACACATGTCATGCTCTATCCACTGCACAGATGACAAGAAAAAAAGACAGGACAAGACTACACACAGGATAATTACACCTGTGTGTGACTGTAATACTGAGTACTTTATGGTTCCTGATAACCATAATTACCTAGGACCTCAAATAGCAAACACCTACAAGAAAAGAAAGGTACAACGGTTTTCTGAGCCAGTGATTTTCATAGATCAAACTTCTGCAAGCCATGATGATACAGATCAGTACATTTCCAACAATGATTTTGTCCAAATTGGTTTGATCTCTACTTCAAAGCATTGGTTGCACTATGCCTTCAGTTCAGGACCATCACAGGTTGGCAAGATCAGTGACCCATCACATTGTAAGAACCCCATCTTTCAGTCTCTATACATTCCAAGATGTACTTCAAAACCATCAAAAAAAAAAAAAAAAAACAGTCACAACCAGGTTTTCCCCCCAGACAAAAGCCCTTATACCTGCATAAAATCATCTGCACTTTGATCATGAGAAATCTATTGAGTGTATTCTGCCCCTGCATGCAGGATAATTTACATTCATTCAGACATCCAACAGTGCATGTGCGTTAAAACTGCATATTCATTGCGTTTTTTAATTTACTCAGCTACATATGCATGCTGGCATGTCAATCAAAAAGTACCTTGACGCTTACATCCCACTTTAAAATAAGTTAAATTAAAAACCAAACAACTATTTATTTATTTTTTGCAGATGTCAATTTTTTTCATTGACACTTATTCAATCAATAATAGAAGTGGTCTAAATTTTAAAACATGTATATATCTTTCATGGAAGTCTCAGGACCAAAACATTTTTGTCTAATCATTGCATTCGGTCCAATTTTTACTACGGACAAAGTTTTTTATTTATTTTTTAAATTGTGAAGAAAAAAAACCCCCCACGAATTTCGGACTGTATTTTGGAGTGAAGAGTGAGCGTGCTCATGCTCACTTCTTACTTAATTCACGGATTTTTATTAAATTTTTCAACGTATTAGTTAATGTATTTGTGTATGTAAGAAAAAAAAAAATCACACACAAAAAAAAAAAATAAATCTGGAATCGTGATTTGGGCCCCCTAGCGTCCTGGGCCCATATGCCTGACATACTCTGCAACTCCCCATAACGGCGCCCCTGTTTCCACACACCCTGCTCGCACAGACATAACACTTCATCAGCGAGTCAATGAGGCTATGCAGAGTTCCAGACAGACACTCGCTGAGCGCCACAAATAAACAGAAGCCGCCTTTTACAGTTCCTCCTGAACTAAAACAACAAGCTTATGCTGCGTTCACGCCATGCCGTAACCGTAATTACAAGATGGCAACCCGTGACGTTCTACAAGGAGCTGTTCAAGTCATCAGACTCGAATTGATGCGTTTCAATGTCAACACTATCAGCGTCAAAGTGAATCTGCAGCAGTCGGGTGGTACAAGTAAGAGATCTTTAAGTTGGTAATGTTCATTATTATTGTAATATTATGTGCTTTGAGACATGGGGTAATTTAACACAAATATCTTCATCTCGTGTCGCTTTGCAAACTCTGCTGTGTGCGTTTGTGTTTTGAAGGAGGTGTGGCTTTGGAGACCCTCTAAACTAAAGGGAGGGTGGGATCTTATGCTTTCAAAGCTAGCCTCTCCAAAATTGCCTACTCTACCTTTAATTAAATCACATTGTATTAAACATATTTCTTTCATGACAACTCTCAGAAGATTTTTTAGCATGGTAATGGATATAAATGGGTTAATGTATTTGGTCTTGGCGAATAGATCTGCAACACTGCTGCTGCATTGCAAGTACAGGAACTTGCTACTGCCAATACATACAACGATATGCTGCTGTGAGTATATAAGACATATGCTGCCGCACAAATGGTGTATATAAAATGACCTGTAGCAGGTCTATACAGGTGGAGCTGGGGGAGGTGGAGGGTTTCAGATGAACTCTAGTGAACGCTAACTAGCTGTTTAAATGTTAAGCAGAAAGCTCATTGGCTGCAGATCCAACAGGAACCAATCAGCTTGTGCCATAGTTAAAAATATCAATATCATCAGGTTGCATTAAGGACCCATCAGCCTGCACCATCTAGTTTCATTACAGAATTTATTTCAACTATGTTTTGTTCCATACTATACACTCAATACAGTATGTATTGTGTATTAAATGATGATTTATTGTGCTATATTTAATATAGTAATAATGTTAAATACACTATTGTATATAATCTGTGTGTATCCCACATTGTATGGCATCTAGAACAATGAAGCTGCTCTCAGAGTCAAATATATTATGAGTGTAAATTTGATTGGCCACTGAGCTTCATTCTGCATTTTGATTCGAACTGCATTGCTTTCTATTATGCTGCCTGAAATCTTTGGTGCAATAAACAGCCATTTTGCAGGAGGCCTAAATCACTGGCCATAAAAGCACATGAAATCACATTAAGTGAATGATTGCATAATGGGAAAACACACACATCTAACCTGGCACCCTGAGAGACATGTGTGAAAAGAA